ACTAGGAGCAAGGAGGCTACTAGTAGCTCCTGGCCTTACTACTAGGAGCAATGTTCGCTACTATGGGCCACCTAGTACTAGGGGCCATTTACAGTTCGTGGAGTCCTGCTGAGATCTGTGAGATCCTATGAGCCTCCATTAGGACCAGCATCCGTTGGGTTCTGCCTAGATTCCTTTAGTCAAAAACAAAGCCAGTCGTGATGAGAAACTGTCGGCATAGTTCAGTCAAACTGCACTTCTCAGACTTGATGAAATCACCCGCTGATTGAATCACCCGCTGATTGCTTTTTGTCGTGAGTGACATAGCCACTGGACTTTGAAGCACGGCAAAGTACAGTATCTCTTACAGCCCATACTAAGTAAACACCACAAAGGAGAATTGCGAACAACAGGCACGCAAGAAAAAAGAAAAGGCCTCCGCACCCATCTCCAAGCATCGCCTCAAAACCGGTCCAATTGGTCGGACTTTCAGAGTCATTTTCCCGTCAAAGGGTCGCACGAAACCCGTCAGTTTGACCACAGAAATGCAAGTTCCTAGAAGAAGGCAGGCTACCGGCTAGGCAACAAAGCACAGCAAATTTGCAGCGGATCCAATTGTCCATTGAAACTTTATGTCCGTGGGAAGGCAGAACAAGAAACAGTCCTGGACTCAGCACGAGTCCATGCTGCTTCTTTGGCATGGGATTCAAGCTGCCAGTCATTTCAGGCAGGCCTTTGTACACTGCTAATGACTTAATGGGCACAAAGTGCATGCCCAACCATTTGACCCGTATGCGGCCTTTGCATCATAGCCATGTTTATCCAAAAGCTGCTTGACCGCTTGTTCAACCCTAGGAGCAAGAGCGACCCTGAGTCTTAGAAAAGAATCCGAATTGGAAGAGCCAGTCTCATTCTTCAGCTTGTGAGAGTCCTGTGCCATCAGTGAACATTCAGAAAAGAAAAGGCAAACACTTGAAGCAAACTCAAACCACCCCAACTCCCTACCGTCCTTTCCCAAAAGAAAGCAGCCATGTTGTGGTTGGTCTTCAGGGCCTTTCAGGCTCCTTTGCGCAAGCCTTTCCACGATCCAAGCAGCAATGATCTGTGCATCGGCATCAAGGATTTTTGTCTCTGCGTCCACGATGTCTTTTTTTGCTATCCTTGTCATTTCTGCACATTGTTCCTGGATGTTTTTCCGCAAGTCGGCAATCATCCTCACACCTTGGGCAAGTGTAGCAGATTCATGCTTAATCTGGACATCCTCCGGCAGCTGGAAAAAGGCGCAGTCCCGCTTCATCTCTGCCAGGCCAATGCTCCGAGGTAGCAAAATCGAACCATAGCGGTACCAGTCCAGGATGTACCGAAATCGCTCCTTGTTGCCCTCCACGCCTTGGCTACGCGGCTACACACGTGGATTTACACTGAATCTCGCGACGTCCCTCGTGAAAGGAAATGGACCGCAAATACGCTTCAACACCATCACGGGGCTCTTGGGCTGAGAAGGGCGTCACTACAATACCTCTCTCTCCAGAAATGTGTATATGTGTATATTATATTATAATACGTTATATTGTATTATATTATATTATATACAAAGCTAGAAATTTAGCAGCTGGCCTCTGCCAATTGATACAATATTACAATATGTATATGTATACTTTAATATATATATATATGTGTACAGTATATATACAGTTTATGGAAATGCGAGTTGTCCCTCAAGGTTCAAAGATGCAAAATCGCCAAAATTAATGCGGATAACATCCTACCTCAAGGCCGAGAAGTGTGCAAAGAAAGAACTTTCTGCCACTGGTACCCAAGTCGCAAATCTCTTTCGCATCGTCCCTCCAAGGGTCATCCAACACGGTCACTAGGAAGGTGTCCCCCTTGGCTCGTAGCGTCTGCTCCAGGATCTCAAACCTTTCACCATCCACACGGAATCGCACCAAACCATTCGGCAGCGGGTCGTTGATCCTTGGAAAAGAGATGAAGCTGGAATAGCTTGAAAGGGAGCACCCGGACAGTCAGTCGTTTTCGTTGGATTTTTGGATCCAAGTGGTTACAAGTATTTGACAAGAAGGAGCCCAACCCCCGAGGAATCGCGGCTTCACAAGTTCAGTCCAAAATTCGGTGAAGCCTGTCTTGCTCTTTTCGGACTCCTCTGGCTCATGGCTTCAGTGATCAAACCAGCTGGAGTCACACGGCATCCATACCACTTCTGACGACTGCACTTTTTGTGGCGCTGGGTCCCTTAGTGACACGTTCAATGTCTATCCCATCATTGGGATCACGATGGATCCAGACATCTTTTTCTGTCTTTGACAATGATGGAATGTGAGCTGAAAACAGCTGCTGCTGGGTCTGACAACTATATGGATCGACCACGAATTAAGACGACTTGGAGCAATCAAATTCTCCGGTGCATGTCAATGTCGGGACCCAAAAGGGAACCTGCCTGGCGGCAACCGTCGCCACCTGAGCTCAGATCCGCTTCGCCACAGCAACTAGATGGGTGGTCGTCTCTTCTTACTCTTCCAGCAGGATTTATGTAAAGAATTGAGGCCTTGGTTGGTCTTCTCCAGAACAAGTTGGGCCCTAATATGCCTTGATTAAGTATCACTTCCTGAGCAGCCCAACGTCTTTGGGCGTCTTGCCGCAGCTGGTGAGGGCATTCGCATCGGCTTTGCATCGCAGCAGCTCACGAACCACGTCCTCTTCGCCTGCTGACTGTTTTAAGGGCTGGGTGTATAATTGAAAATGCGAACCATAGGGCGACCCATAGTCCACAGACATGTTTCTGAAGTGTATCAAACACAGGTTGAACATTATATAACTGGGTGGGTCAAAGGCTTTACATCACATGGCAAAGGTGCGTTGCCATGAAGATGTTGAACTATGTGCCATTGTTTAGGGTAAACCCACAACCATGAGTCAAGCTTCTTCGCATTGAGACACTCTTCTTTGTGGGGCAAATGAAGGTTTCAACCTCGAATCCCTGAAGAAATGAGACGAAAGCTGGCCCGTGTAATATCGACGATATCATCTTGAAATCCCACAGCCGCATGAGGCCCAAAGACCCGATGCATCCAAATCTTTGGCAACGGAAAGAATCAAAGTAACCCTAAACCCTAATAGGAATGGCCTCCAACCTAATAGCAATGGCCTCTAACCTAATAACGATGGCCTCCAACCAGATAGGAATGGCCTCCAACCTAATAGCGATGGCCTGTCAAATATCATCCATCCAACCTGCCTTACCCTGATTCCCTGCACCTGCAGAGGCTGCTTGATGCAGGGCACTCCAGCGATTCCCGGGTTGAACACCTTAGGGAGCGGAGTGAGGCTGGTTGGAGCCTTAGGTGAGGTTTCTGGTTGGAGTTCTCAGCTTCTTCAGCCGGGGGGGGGTGGCAGGGATGGCACAAGTGGCATGCTACCGTCGAAATGACATCAGGTGCGCCCACTAGCCAGGTTGGGCGTCTTCGCCAGCAACTCCCGGAAGTCCTCCAAACTTGCGAGCGTAGGTTTGTCGAGACCAAAGGAAATGGAGAACTAAGGGAGATGTGGAGATCTGACAGCTTTCTGTGATCTTCGTGGGTTAAATTCTTATTGTTACTAGTAGTAAGGCACTTGTTCCTAGTAGCTTCTTGTTACTACTAGTAAGGCACCTGTTATTACTAGCGTGGCACTTGTTACTAGTTTGTTTCCAAGATCGGATGCCAGGACTCTGAGACCGACCTATCAAAATCCGTATCCGCTGGAAACTCATGTTCTGGTATGCTGGGAGCTCAAAAGCTGGTACACGGGCCTGTTGGCATAGTTCCCAGTCCGGAGTATTGGTCTGTTTTGTTGGCTGGGATCCCTTTCTTGGCTATCAAAGCTCAGTAGCACTACTCGACTGTCCAACAACAAGAGCTCCCATGCCCTTGCAAGCTCTCTATATAGAGAAAAGAAAAAGGGGAGCGCAGGAAGTGAAAAGGCGTGGCAAGCCAACGAGATCTCGCCTTCCATCTCCGGTTCTTTGCCAGATCCAGGAAGTGATGTTCCAGCGAGTTCCTGTTCCAAAAAGCACTCCAGTTCCCCACCGACAGCTGACATATATACTTCAGCTGTGAGCAGGAAGGTCCATGATTGCTCTATATACAAAAAATATCTATCTGCAGAGATGACAAGAATTACACTGAGCTACTGCGCTCATCATGGCATGTTCCAATAGCTTTTGACGCGTCTGTTGTCGCCTACATTCCTCTTCCACAATTCCCCCATGTTATCCACAGGGTGGGGCAGAAGCGTCCCACTGGCTTAGCAGTGAGAAATAACAACCCAAGCTTGGGCGCCTGAAGAGCGTTTGGGCTTAAAATTGGCGAAAGCAAAATCAAGCAGTGATGCTTGAAATATCTGCTTGGGCCTCGAAAATCCGCTCAAAAATGGATTGTGAAAAACTCGTGCAAAGCTACCACAGTCCTTGCACCTCATGTCAAGCACCATGGTATGCCTTTTATACTGAACACAAACAGCCGCAGCAATGTTTCTGGCTGCTGAACGATGTTGTATCAGAACAGCGGCCAATACAACTTGTTCTTGGCCGCAACCGTTTCTCTCTGCTAGTTTCATTTCTTAGATCCAAAGGCATTCAGCCATCTTCCAGCATTCCGCAGTCAGCTGGGAGATCGTCCCGTCTCTTTGGCCCACTTGCGGAATTTTTGAGTCGCCTCAGATGTTCAGCAGATCTGTGTCGAACCCAAAGTCACACATTCATGATCAATGAGCGCATATGTAAGACATTGTAAAAAAAACAAGTAATTTGTATTTTATATACATGCCCTTTGTTCCTTTTCATATTGGGTCAATGAGTTCTATATCTATAATCTATAGTTCCAGTAAATCATCCAGAACCACAGAATCCCTTGTTCGCCCCAGCGGCGAACGGCATGAAACGCCAGAGCTCTGGTCCGCCCCGGGAGGCTTTGAGGTCCGCAGCACCCGCCAGCACGAAGCCCTGGGTAAAGCCCAGGTTGCAAAAGCCTCCGGTTGGAGCTGGTCAAACCAGTTTGGAAACAAAACACAACCAATGGTTTGCGAAACAAAGACAGACTGTTCAAATTGTCCCATACTCAAGGTATATCCTTCCAAAAGGTGTAGAAAGAGGGGAAAAGGTGGGGCGCTTGCTTCTCTCTCCATTTGGGGGTCACTGAAAGAAGAAGATATATGCAGTATATATATATAACATCCTAGAGCAATGATTCGTAAACTAAAGTACATGTCATGTGGAGTAATTTGTCTTCTGCCCCCACATCAAGGTTGCACAGGAAGGAAGAACGTAAATCCCTCCAATAAATCTCAAAATCTCACTTGACTTCGGTGTTTATCGCCCAAGGGAAAGGGAAAACGATCAACTTTATCACCACCCAGTGAGATACAATCATATACGATAAATAATGTGCTGATATGAACTCCTCTGCAACAATTAGTAATAGAAACAAACGATTTCATCTTCTCCTTACACCAAGAGATCCACGATTAGTCTATCACCATGTCTGACAAAGGCCTCACCGACCTCACCCTTTCCTTCCCCGCCTGGCGCCCACCAGCGGCCACTGGGCAGTGGCCAAACGTCCACGACCCGCGCGGTGCGCTGGTCCACGAGGCGCAGGTCCCCCCCGCCGTCACTGGTTTGCGAGAAGATCCACAAGATCTGCGGAGACTCTGATGGAGGATGAACAAAAGAACTGTTGCGGCGAGGAAAAAAATGGCACGCACACATTGGGGTGTTTGATTGGCGTGTTTGGCAATGTTGGGAAAAATGCTCACTGTACACTGTACACTGTATACGAAGGCTTAACCACTCTCTCTATCTCATTGATACCTCGCGAACAAACTGAGCCCATGAAATCACAGGCCTTTGCGAGAAAGAAGGGGTTAGGATGGATATTTACTTTACAAAGAAAACATCCCACATGTAGCAATGGGGGGGACTCTGCCGGGCCAAGCCAGCCAACTTAATGGCAGCAAGTTGCCACAAGTCCCCCAACACGCCAACGCCACTGTATCACTTGTCACTAGTAGCGATGCCCTTGCTCCTAGTAGTACGGCCAGGAGCCCCTAGTAGCGTGGCACTTGCTCCTAGTAGCGATGCTAGGAGCCCCGTTCGTAGCTTCTTGTTACTACTAGTAAGGCTAGTAGCGATGCACTTGTTCCTAGTAGCGTCCTCTTGTCACACAGCGTCGATCCTCGGGGCCTCCATCTCAGGATCCAAATCCACGCCAATGATCTTCCTATGTCTTGGGCTATTGGATCCTGTGTGGGAGTCCTGAAACTGCTCCACAGAAACCGGTCATGAGAACCCAAGGCCCAAGTTTGAAGATTTGGGATCTTCACAACCTCAAATTCCAACAACTATCAACAACTTAAGCGACTTAACGCAACTCAGCTCAACCCTCCCCAGCCAGTGTCCACAATTGAGACCACGCTCTCGGCAATCTTTCGATGTCTCAGGGAGATCAGCATTTCCACCTGTCTTCGGAAGGTAGCTGGAAACAGCGGGAATTGGGACTTCCAAATATCTGTCCAGTCTGTGCCTCATCTCCCGAAAAGCAACGCTTTCCGGCCTTCAAATACTCAAATGATCTCAAATGCACCAAAGCAACACCTGCCAGCCTCCAAATTGTCCAATCACCCTCACCCATGGAATCATGGTTGGTTTTATCATGGAATCATGGTTGGTTCAAATCTGTCCCTTTCGCTCACTCCGGAGTCTCAACCCCTGCTCCCACTCTCCAAGCCACCGGGTGCAGCTCATCTTCCAAGGTGGGGCACAGCACAATCACTTGCCCTGAATCCGTAGCCGCCAGCACTGCCTTGGAGAAACCAGGTGACGCGTCTGTTCTTCCTTACAGGACCCAAAAGCAGAAACACTTCAATCCAGGACGTCAACCCCTTAACCACTTCGCATGAAGTCCATGGCACCCCCGCACCTGCTCCACCTGCCCCAGCTAGCACTTAGGTTGCGGCCCATCCCATGTCCACGAAGCCCTTCCGCTGGCTGCAAACCACCGCGTCGGAGCCCTCCAAGAGCTGCAGCGCCACCAGGTTGCGGCTCGGTAGTGCTGGGCCCAAGCGCCAGGTCTTCCTCAACAAGTAACAAGGCTTCGTGGGACGGATGCTGAACGGACCAGGTCTGGCCATGAAAATCAACGAAAAACATACCTCCAAATCCACAACCAATGAACTTGCCCTGACCCTGGCGGGACTGTGCTTCCTGCTGGCTCAATTTCGATCTACCACCCTGCAACAGTGCCGTTCCCAATGCAGCCTAATTCATAACCATGGCATACATTATACAAATTTAATCTGTAACTCCGTGGCCGTGGCCCATTCTCCACAGCCAGAGTCAACGCATCGACTCCAAGCATCTTCCCCGGGATCCATGGGTAGATTGACTGCTCGGTGAGGTTGTGAGTCTCTTGGTGTAGCATCAGCACCTGAAGTCCATTTCTGTTCAGGGCTCTTTTGACTTTGGTCTCAATGCCTCAAAAATACTGCATGGGTTGGAGCCTCATCACTCTATAAGTGGCGCTGGACCCAGAAGCACCTGGTTTGGTTGTTTCCTCATTCGATTCCCACCTTCCCCTTGCGCCGCAAGATGCCAAAGCCAATCCAGGCGGCCTCACGAACACAAACACAGGCTGGCCCTTTCTGCCACCGTGCGAATGGATCAAGAAGAAAGGACCGAAGAGTGAGCAAGGGATGATCTGGCGGTCACTGTAAGCATGCTGTCATCACAATGCCCGGATGTATTGCTGCAGTGCCACGCTTTTTCGAAAGAATATGCAGACAAACCATCCATCCTCTTGAAAATGGTCATTGTGTCTCAGCCCAAATGTACAGCTTTCACACTTGGGATGAGCCATGAGCCATGTGGGGGTAGAACTTTTAGATTCTCATGAGTTCTCATTTGAGGATCTCGCTCCAGCTTTCGGCCACCTCACCTCCAGCTCAATGGCCGGGATCACTGGGTGCAGCGTTACATTCTGCAGCTTTAGCGGGCGCCTGGGAGGATAACACGAGATGCCACCTGCAGAACCCTGAGGAGAATGCTACAGACCTTGCAAGATTCTGTGCATCTTGTGTGGTGCAGGAATTTCTGAGTATCTGCAGGTGCCTATCCGATGAGGATGGAGCACTCGCACCTGCATTCAACTACTGTACGCTTCTATACCAGGTCTCATGTCTTATGTGAATCCCACATCTCCATAGATTGCAAGGTCGTCTTGAAGTCTTGTCCATTTCTATAGTCAATGGTCTCTACACTTTCTGTCCATCAATTATTCTGTGCATCACCGGTCCCAACCCCCCCTGCCCACCAGCTCTATGCACCCCCAGCGGCTTCTCCACGTCCGCCAACCGCTCGTGACGCCGCAAATGCCGGCGGCCACGCAGCGAGTGCACGTCAGCGTCATAGAGCTCCACGGCCTCCTGGTCCCAGTAGAGCTCACCGCTCCAAATGGCAAACCTTGCGTGGAGGCGACCACCAAACCCACATACGAGCAAGAGGATGCTACTATTACTAGGAGCAAGAAGATACTAGGGGCTCCTGGCATCGCTATTAGGAGCAAGTGGACGCTATTAGGAGCAAGAAGCCACAGGTGTTCATGGATTCTCAGGACTTGCTGGAACGACTCATACCTGTTTCCAGTTTCACACCCCACCCAACGACTCAAATCCGCCCGAACTGGTCCAGGCTGCTGGTCACCCACATACACCGTGGCGTCGTTGGTGCCACACGTCATAGCACTCGGCCTGCGATGAATTGCATTTTAGCGGTATAACCAACCGCAACCCATTTGAAGAAAAAAACTCCTGTCACAATGGTATATTTACACAAAACGGTTTTACCCCGCTGAAAACTAACATGGACCCTGAAAACCACTGGTTGGTAACGGAATACAGTGTCTTTCAGGGTGCCATTCTTAAGATCCATTTCAGTCTTCGGGAGTGTACCCAGATTTTCCAGACACTATAGTCACTATATATACATATAAGAAACTGGCAATCGTTTCCTGGAGAACTCCTCCATCAGTCTACCAGAAACAAGCTTCTCAAGAACGAAGCTGCAGAGCCGTGGCGTTGGTGCACAAACTGCCAAGCCGAGAGGACCTCTTGCGTCGCTTGCGTGGCAGCTCCTTAAGTGGCAGCCGAGAGGCCGGAAGTGACGATGAGGCCAATTTACATTCAACTTCCGCAGCACGAACGGGTTGTACAACTCACGAGGCGCAATGGGGGTGTCGTAGTACATCCTTGGCGGAGAGTGACGTCATCGTGGTATCTATCGGGACACATCCGTCCGTGTTACTGAGACTTCAAGAAGTAAATTGCGGCGCTTGATTCAGCTTCCGCACCAAGTTCGTGCCAAGGCACGGGTCAAAGAGAACCACTAGGATAGAGCCCAGCCAAACCAGTAACTGAGCAAGGCAAACGCGCTGCAGACTCTTCCAGGGCAAAATGCTGCCTGGGCTTGACAAACAACCACACATGCCTGCCCTGCCCTGTCACTCAAGATTCAAGATTCCCTGCTGGGTCTGCACAAGCTCTTCTTTCGTTGTGGTCGTGCTATGCATTACAGCAGCAAATTGCAAAGATTCAATTCATCTACCAAAAGTAGCCACCAGCGGTCATGGAGGCCAGTAAAAACACAGCAGTGTGCTTTGAATTCAAAACCAGCGGCTGCTCATCTCGCTCTCAGGCGTAATGGGCATTAGCTCAAATGGCAGGGCCTCACGGAGAGGAACTGGGTAGAGGCTGCTGTCAACAGCTCTCTGTTACCCAAACATAGCTCCTTCCAGGTTGAATAGACTACTGTCTACTGTCTACTACTTTCCTCTACTTTCGTTGGGCCCAACCCGTTGGCTGCGTTTCTCCACCTCCAAGCCGCCTCAGCATCCACCATGGGGCCCGTCACGTCTTCCGAGCTATTAATGCGATCCAGCAGCTCCTGGAGAGCCAAGGAGCGAAGATCAAACCGTTCTCGTGAGAGCCTTGACCCCTGGGAACTTGTTGCAAAGCACGGTTACTGTTCATCGACGAGTGAAGAAAGTCCAGAATTTCTGTGCTTCAGACATGGATGAATGGCAATCATGGGATGGCTCTTGGTGCAACGGTGGACAAGTTCTTCCCACCGTAGCCTTTTCACTCAATCTACAAGAGCACTGGCCTGTACGGACTCGGTGATGCGCACAAGATCCAAGATCATGCCATCGGGCCGCGACCAAACCACCTCTCAGGTTTTGAAAGTGCCAAGGCCCTCTGGAAGTGAGCATCTAAGATTCGCACCAAAATACGTTTGGATTTAAGAAGCTCAGCTCTTCCCTAAAGGAAGGTAGCTCCCGGTTTTGTTTTAAATCTTGGTGAGATACTAAGCACGTGGTGACACCTAGCCGGCGACGGCCCAATCATCCCATTCAATCCGATGGAGTTTGTCCTGCCTGGCCAGACCGGCAATCCACCCAGTAGGGCACCAGGCTCCCGCTGCCTGATCGGAAGAACCATCTCTGATGACACATCGACTCATTCACCCTCATGTTCACCCTCGTTGACGGCAACCTATTGATCTTCTCCATGAAAACACGCTCACTTCAGTTCAGACTTCGGAGCAACCTCAGATTCTGTGTCTCAGCTGCTCTCGTTTCAAACGAAGACTTGGTTCAAAATGGCCAGTAGAGTGATTCTGAGGATTAGTCATATTTATATATATATATATCCAATCGCATAAATTGAACCTCAAATAGCTGAATGTCCACTTCTTCCCTTCCCCACATCCAAACACCCCCCACCATCGTCGCAAGCACTCTGGAGCCAGGAGCTCCCCATCGGTGAGGACTGCCTTGCGGGGCTTCGAGAGCGAGCCAGTGCCAGCACGAAACAGCACGGTATCCTGAGCAAACACCGTGGAGTTCAACAACAAAAGGCCCGCCTGCTCCAGCCCTCCGAAGTTTGTCGACTCCAGGGCATGGACAGCTGACTCTGCAAATCCTGGGGGTCGGAACTCAGAAAGATGTTGAAATCCTAAGCTAAGGCCAGTCATTTTGGTGAAATCCAGTTGGCCTTTTGGGGCATGCTCTTTCGGGGAGGCTCTTTCTGGGACTTGTTCGTGACGGGTCATCTTTTGGATTGAACTGACTCACAGGCCACGACTTCGAGCCCAGACAATCGACCGGACTATTTTCCTCCGCACAAAGGCCACTTTGTGCCTACTTCTGGTCCATAGCACACAGCCATCGCCCTATTTCTTGAGACTTCAAGACTTCTCTGAATGTGTCTTGGTTTGTATTTCTCGTTTGTCTCAAACACCGGACTGATCCCGGACTTTGCGGGTCACCTTCCTTTGCCCGCGCAAGTCAATTTACGCTTGAAAAATGGCAAAGCCTATCGCAGATCCGGTGGCAAAGCAAGAGAACCAGGAGCACGCACGCAGCCGGGACTGTTTTGCAGTCTGCTCAGTGTCTCAACACAAAGAAGCAACATTGGATGAATAGGGCGTTGCTCAACACCCTTCACAAGTGTGAAGCAGAAACATTGAACTGGATAGCATCTCTCAAGTGGCCAATCTTGCACAAACCAACTTCAGCGTGGCCCTTTTAAAGTCTCTGCCAGCCTCAGCGCATGCAGGTTCAGATGCGGCAGGCACTCTTCTCCTGGCAAATCTCGCTCAGCATCAGTCAGCATCGAATAAAGCAAATGCAACACACTTTCCTACCTACTTGCGCTGCTTCTTCTCACCAGGTTTGCACAGGTGGCAAAACTTGCAGTCTTTGCCGTCCTTGGAGAAGAAACATGAGTAGAACAGTAGAACATAATTCATAATACCATTTGTGGCCTGTCATTTCATGAGTCAATAACTTCAGCACAACGTCCAAGTAATTGAGGCTCCCACTTTGCAGGCATTGGTATTCCAAAGTGTACAGGGTTTGCAGATTCGAAGATGGTGTCCTGAAAAAGAAAACAAGAACGACAACTTCAGCAGGGTGTAAATACATTCGGCCCTTTGGAGCAAAGCCACCTCAGCTAGCTCAAGCAATACTTGTAGAAAAAACATCTAGTAGTAACAGGTGCCACGCTAGTAGTAACAGGTGCCTTACTAGTAGTAACAAGAAGCTATTAGAAACAAGTGCCACGCTAGTCTTGGATTGCTTGTCCATGTTGGTCCTGTGGACCCGACATTGAGGTGTTGCCCATCCACTTTGCCCGGTTCCAGCCTACGCCAAAGCAATCCCGGCCATGTGCACCGCTCTTTGATCGCAAGTCACCGCAAGTCACAGGGCATGTGGGCGATTGGTCAATCGTTTGAATTGGCAGCACACCGACACAACTCTTGACACAAAAAAGTACAGTAATACTCAGTAATACTGTAGAGAAAAATTAAGCAACACAAATCACTTGTCTGATAGTGCACATTACTGAACATGAATATATATATATATATAGTTTCATGTGGCTGACTTTGGTTTTCACACCGATCAAGGCCTTTGTCCCTCCTCATGCCAATCCTGACAGCCAAGAAAACTTAGCTGAATTGGGTTAAGAGGGTGGTCAAAATCAGAAACTAATGTCAATAAATGCAACTCATCATGCTCACATTGCATCCCTGTTTGTGATAATGACGTCGCGACAGTGATTTACTTTCCTGAAAGGCACTCTATGACATATCTATACTTGCATGCACCTGTACATGCCGTCAGCTTGACATCCTAGAGTTGGAACAAACACACACGTATACAGATGACCATTCTCCCTGGCAGTATTGTGCAAGGTTCTCCTATGAGCAAGAGAGCTCCAGACAATGGAATTTGCAAACAGACATAGTGTTCAAACATCAAGCGAAAAGCATCTTGAACCCGGATGAGTTTCGTCGTCGACTTCAGAGTCTGAGTACTCATCGTCGGCATCGTCAGCACGATCATCTGGAGACACCTGAGGCAAGTTGAGGAATCTGAGACTTCTCCTTAAAACTTCCTTAAATCCTGCTAGCGTGGAGGTGGGATGGCAAAAAATAGGTTTCAGGGGGAATATGTTATGCGTTGCGTGTTTGTTGGTGTTCAATCTGCTTGCTTTGCTGTTGATGATTGCTTGTCTGGGGTTGGTTGGGACACTCTGTTGGCCGGTATTGGATGAGATGGATTCTTGTGTTTTCTCATGTTTTTTCCTTTTTGTGGCTCGAAGGTTGAAGTTCTGATGTAGTTTTGGGGTTACATAAAATATGTTGCTGGGTTGGGGTTTTCAGCATCCGAAGTATTGATCCTGGCTGGTCTTGCGCTCTCTCGCTCATTTCTCTTCCTTATATACCCACATTGACATTCAATCTTTTGCTTAGGACAGTATCTACAGCTGCATCTTATAGATAGACTAGGACCACACTCCTACCCACGTATCCTGCTGATTTTTCCAATAACGCTGCTCAACAGATTTCCTGGCTCATAATATAACAAATGTCGAAGGACCGCAAGGGTGCTCACGCTCTTCTTGAAGATGTTCGGCACTAAGCAAAATCCCTAAAGCTGGCACCCCACTGACCCCACTTCAATAATAATCAAAGCATTGCTTTTCACTAGGAAACACTATGCCTTGATCCAACTGTCTATTTGCTCCTTCCATGCAGCAAGGCACTCGGCCGACTGCACAGGGCCAAGAACCTGCAGATCCTCCTGAGCAACACACGTATGTCCTACTGCAGCGTCCAAGGTGGTGTCCTGGCATCTCAATCAAAGACTACCTGCCATTCATCGCTCAAAAACAGGGACAAAGGTGTATTCACCATTTTTTCCTCACGGGCCCCGGGCTGTCCTGTCGACCCCACGTTGAGGTGTTCCCCATGCGGAAGAAGCCTCAAAAGCCAAATGGACTGTTTAACCACGTTGCAACCGCCCAGGCTGCTAGCCTTCGGAAGCACACTCTCTTTGTATTACCTGGTATGTTCCTTTGCCAAGGTTCAACCCAAGGAGAGATTTGACAACCCTCATGACCAGGTTGTAATCGTGTATGAGGGTTCTGCTGCCGGGCAACCACAGGCTGGCCTTTGTCAGCACGGGCGTCTGTGAGTCTTCGGCCCAACCGCCCTGACAGCAAGCGTAAACTGCGAGAAAACATGTGTAATGAAACACTTTGAGGCTAGAAATGCCTGAGTTTGCATAAAGAAATTCATCAAAATCGGCAAAGGCATGCACATAGATGTGCATGTACAATACGTATCAGTGCCAATGACACCTGTTTGCACAAAGAAACCCATTCCACAAACGATACCCTCATGCAAGAATGAATGCTGCTCAAAGGTCTTCAGAAGTCGAATGTTAATATATAAGTTGGAGCTCTTAGCAGCACACCAAACACCTTCATGTTGCAAGTCTCCAGTGGGAACCCTGATGGGTGCGCACTGATCTCCCATCTTCAAGGCCCATCTGCCAAAACGTGCTTCCAACTCTGCAATCAATAGGAACCAGGCTGGTGTGGCCAGACTCCATCAGATGTTATAGCTGGAGGAGATATTGAAGCTACAACAAGGTGTATATTATATATATATAAAGTTCTCATGTTTTTTTGTACACAGAGTCGGCGAGCATGACATACCTGCCAGTCTTCAGCCAAAGCACTTTCTTCTGAAGCAGACGGACCATCGCACCCCTCATTCGAAGTTTGCGTTCCCTTTCCCTCCTTAGCCAATAGCGAGGGCGCAGCTCTGCCCCAACAGGTCCCGGCACGGGACAATTCTTTGGAAGAAATGGCAGCAATGCATCCAACCAAAAAAAAGTGACATCAAAGCCAACATCACTACCAAAACCACCTGCATTTTCCGTAAAAATCTAAGAACCACACAGTTTCTTCACGGAAACTACCCCCCGCGCTCAGGCAAGTGGAGCTTCCTTGGAGAAACATGAGATTTCCTGCGTCCTAAGCAGCAACTTCGTAGCTACAGTTTGACCCTTACAACTAGCGACTTCAGCTAGCACGGCCTACCCCTACAAAGAAAAAATGCCATCTTTGTGACGCCAAGGTGCAAAGTCGACATCTTCGTCTTGTGCTCCCAAAGCCGGGCCTCAAACTTCTGGCTCAACTGCAGCATCACCTGCAGTCCGTCTCTACAGTCGTGGTCAACTTACTTCAGGTCATGCTAGGGATTTAGATGGATCGAATGCTTCATGTGTTTTCTGGATTTCAACTGTATATACTCGGTCCTTCTCCTGCGATTGATCCTTTTTCTCCTTCAATGGAGTAGTGGATGGGTCTTCTGACCCGACCTGTCCTCCGTTGCCTCTCGCATACACTTCAACTGTGCTCCCAAGCAACCGTGTGCCAGCAGAGTTTCCTGCGGTATGAAATAGGACAACGGATCTGGTCACAGGATCATGGGTGGCTAGGTATCTAAAATAAAAGCTCCTTCAGCAAGCAAGGGATGATGCAAAAGGCAGTACGGGGTTTCATGGAGGAAAGGTTCAAGACTGAAGAGATTGCCTGCCCGAATTGCCGCTCCCACAGGGAATCGCAAGCGCCCTTGCCACAGAAGGTAGCGGCACAGGGTCAGTGTGTGCAGGAGGTAGGGCAGCAATCCGCTTCTGAGTGCCGGATTTCAAAGTGGAGCCAATGGAGCGCATGTTTGGGAGGTGTTGGAGCCGAAGAGCACCAACCACCAACGTAAGCCTCGCCTGATGCGCTTGAGTCAATGCGGCCCCTAATTTTTTTGGACACATAGGGAGAGTACTGATCGAAGGGTCTGGTGAAGACCTGTGCAGCGCACAGCCTCGGCACCCGGAGGGTACACAGGATGGCTGAGGTCAGCCGTTGGCTGTCGGTAGCCTGAGAAGCCAGTAGAAGTCATCGATGACAGCCCCAGCCGAGGGGAAAAAGGCCATAGAGGATCGGAAGTATTGGAGCTGCCAGTCGGCCCCAATAAAGTTGTACGCTGGGCTGGCTTGCCATTGGCTGCTCTCATGGTCTCTGACTTTGTCTCGCCCATCAGTTCCTACTAGCTGTCTCGGTCAGGGTGCAGTTACACTGATGGGCAGCCTGTTCCTTGGTCAGGCGTGGCAGGATCATACCCAGTGGAACTTCTTCCTCGAAGGTTGCTCTGATCTCTCTCGAGAAGTCCAGCACCGAGGGGTAGTTGCGGCACCTGATCGGTTCATCCAGGGCCAGGCCGCCCCAGCCGCATGCGCTTGACCAGTCACTACCTCAGGGTCCTCCAGGTCCAAAAGATCAAAGCTCTCAGCGGTCGCCGAATACACCATGGCAGTGATCGAATGAAAGGTGCGGTCGACCGAGCTTTTTCACCAATTGAAATGCAGGTGAGCACTTCACTCGCTTGAGCCAAAATGTCCCAGTGCAACATTTTGGTGTCTTATCGTGAACATAAACCTTGCAAAGGCAGGTTAAGTGCAAGGAGAAGCGCCATCACGGTCTGATCGAGTAAACACACCCTGGATTTTACTTCCTCAACTTATGGGAGTCGTTGATGCAATCAACGACCATCGACCCTTGCAACGGTGGGCACCATATCGTCGTAGTCTGATGTGGTCTGTAAGACCTGGATATGCACAAGTTTCACAAAAAGCCCTGCCTCTACGGCACGGTTCAGTAGCTCCTGCTCCTGGTCCTTCTCTTCATCCACTCCCAGCCAGTCTGATGCAGCCATGGCGGAATTCCGGCTCTGATTGAGCAAATGGCATGCCGGCGACGACACTTCCCATCAGAAGGAAACAATCTCTACTCATGGACTGGAGCATGCTTGGACCCTGTCCAATCCCAATAGGAAGCGACTTTGAGTTGATCGAAACACCAGTTGTCCCTTCCTGATACAGTAATATCTCGGAAGATCTCCTTGAGCTCCTCATCTAAGACCGTCTTCATGTGTTCCACGCTCGCTTTATCCTGCACTCGTTTGCTCGCATTGCTCCACGGAAAAGCAGTTCAGCAGCGTCCTTGTCTTCCCAGTCCCACACCCTCAAGTTCATCTGCAACAAAAATGAACAAACAAGATCCACACAAACCAAACAAACTTCGGTACAAAGGGCACTCTCCCCTTCATAAGGGTTTCTCCTGAAGACAGGATTCCTTGGTTTCCATGCTTTCCCGTTCTCTCTTCTCCCAAACACACCATGGCTGCGCTGTTGTCTTGATGGGCCCCTCGTGTCCTCCCGACCCAACGCCGGCGCCGCTCCTCCGGCGCGAAGTGCTTGGCCGACTCCGGGCGGCTGAGCTTCGAGAGGGTACGGCTGAGGCGCTTCGCCTCTCGCAGTGGATTAGGTGCTTTCACCTCTCCTAAATTGAAGCTCCTCCATGTTCCTCCATTTATCTAAAGGTAGTGGTTTTAGGGTTTAAGAGCAACTTCTGGCCAGACCAAGCTGCTGCTCCTTACCCACCCCATGAATGGGACAAGTTTCTTATCAATCGACGACATCATCGGAAGAATGCACCACATGAACGTGCATGTAGCAGTTCAACCCGGTAGGGTTTCACCTTCAATACTCTCTGCCTGCGCCTGCCCATGAAATGTATTCCTCTATGCATGAATGGTGTTCTAATTGAGCTATTGGCCTGGACAAAATCGAAATCTCCCAATGAAACATACACGAATACATCATAGTACCTCCTAAATCACAGCTCCACTCCAAGGCGCTTCACGCAACCCTCCACAGCCTCCGTAAAGGTCGCAAAGGCCCGGCGTTGCTGATCCCCACCGGGCGACATCGGCAAGAACGAGGTCTCACCGTCGTGCGCCCCGTGCGCGTCGTGAGCGCCCCGCACGTCCCAGTGGGCCAAAGGCCCTTGGTGGTTCTCCACCACCGAGGCACGGAAGTGGCGGCCTGGGGAGAGGCGCTCTGGCGGCATCTGCACAAAAAATAGTGAAGGACCAAGTGGTGAGAGGTATGTTGAACTTTCTGTTCTTTCGGGTGGGCAACAAGTCATGTCCCTCCTGCGACTCAGTTTGACAACCCTGGTCGCTTTCAAGTAATGACTCCTTGCCCTTTTCCAGAGAACAACCCAAGCCGAGCCCACAAATGCCACCAATCACAGCTCGAGGAGCTGTGCCAGCCGAATATGTCCAGGTAGATGGCAGCCCTGCAAAGGGCGTTGATCTTTTTTGCAATGTCAAGATCAATCATTCTTGCCCAACAAAGCAGGGACTTTTTGAAGTTCCGGAAAATCCTTTCGTCAGCTTTCCTTCAAACTAAATAAGTGAGGAGGAATCCACCGGCCTCGTGAGATAAACCACCAAAAAAAATCCCCACAGGTTCAATAAATCTGCATGGTCAGACTCACCAAGAGTATTCACAGTCCTCATACCCAGGCCTAAAGGACACCGGAAGCTCCATGTTGGCGAGGAGGGGCCTAGACACCTGAGTTTCATAGAGACAGATCGCGAAGCCGTTGTTGGTTGACGAATGTGAACCCAATTTAAAGCACCAAAGTGCAAGGCACACTATATGAGGGCAGAAATCACTTGTGATTCTTTCTTGTGAAGTCATATATGCTGTCGCATTGCCACAGCTCAAGCTGAAACTTTCACCGCTAAAGTGTTCACCTGACAAAAATGCACATCCTTGGCTCAAAGAACCTCATCTCCTGTCAGAACGCGTTCGTCCAACATCTTTTGTGCGTCAAGGCACAAAAAGGATGATGAGTATCCACAGCATGTGGCCTTGGAAGGTGACTTCCACAGGCGCTTTGGTCGGACAAAGCTGGGTGAGAGACGAGGAATTGCAAAAGAACGGACAGGGAAGACATTTGGAACAGTGCGGGCCGCTTTCGCAACTCTTTCGTGGATCTCACGCCTATTGTTTGGCCATCACCTATGGCCCCGCCCCTAGACTAAATAGATCTGTAACTATATAGATACTCTTCTGATCTGACTGCGCCCAGCTTGTCGGATTTGACTAGGAGAACACAGTCCCCACACCGCAGCCAAAAAAACATGTGCACATTTGGACTTCATATAGTGGAAGCCAACGTAACCACTGAGTATAGGAAGGCCCGAAGCACGACCCCTCTGTGACCAAAATCTTCACCAATCATGTCCCATCGCTGCCAGGCAGCAGGAGCAAGCCAACAAGGCAACCTTTGCAGCTCACTGACCGAGACGAGTCACAGTTCAAAGTCCAAAAACCGTCTGTGATCAAGTTTTGCACACAGGTGTCAGGTGAAAAAAGGGAGAATCGGCGAAAGGGACATCAAAACTCAGCGCATTCTTCCTGCAAACAGCTAAAAATCAGTGTATCATACAGTCGAAGCACTATCCATGGTAGCCACACCGGCACGATCTGGTCGCAAGGCCGTACACCGCCTGGGACAAAGCGACAAATCGGTGCAGCTTTGTTGTAGCTTTGTAGCTTGGGACTGGGAGTATTAGACAACCCTCAAGGCATGATGGGAGATTCGAAGTCTACTGCCTACTACAATGTCACATTAAGACCAACTTGCAAATTGGTGAGGGAGCACGCATCATCTGGGCAAACTGTCCATCGCATCTAGCGTGTTGAGCTACTCTGGCCTCATTCTCCAATCCCGACTGCCAAGCACTTGCGCAACTCCGTATGTGAAGAAATCTCAATTGCCTTGCCCTGCCTTTCATAAGCATCGCAGCATGGTACAATTCATAGAGTTAGGTACTGCCAACATCGAAATGCAATAAGCTGGAGAGTCCAACTCCACTTCAAGCTTCCCTGTCGTTCCGCCGTACCTTCTCCGTGCTTGGTACGGATGTTGAAGAGCTGTGTGGCCAAGGCAGCCAACATTGGCGCAAGCCAAAGACCCAGCTGCACGAGCCGCCTATGAGAAAACAAGAAGCGTAGGCGGCTTTGTGTGTGTGTGGCTGCATGTTGTGGGTCTCTAAATGTTGGTGGTTCTTGCCACAATACGATGGTGCCATTTCTATTTATGATCCTAGAGTCATCTGAGACCCTCTAGAGGGGTTGTGGAACATACAGGAAACTTATATAACTTGGCAGCTTCAGGAAGTCTGCCTCTCTTGGCAAAGAACATGCCACTTGTTTTGCCCTTCACCAACCCCTGGCCTTTGCTCCTTCTTCATGTACAGGTCCAGCTTAAACAAAATCCAGCACGCGTATACCCCCATCAGCAACGCCAGCCATGCGCCCTCAGTGTTCTGCACAGGTGATGGCCAGCCTTGGGGAGTGGGTTTCAAATCAGTGCCTTTGCTCCGTCTCTATCTATCTATCTATCTCTCTCTCTCTCTCTCTCTTTCTCTCTTTTCACTTTTAAGTTTGAAAAAGCCGGACCTACAAACCGTCCCGGAGCCAAATAACATCCCCCGACTTCGCAGGTGGGTTTGCTCCTTTTAAGCCCCTTTCTTGACCAACGCGGCCCCGGCAGGCCTTCAGACTTCAGCATGAAGTGCCCCAGTGCAAAGTAGGACTCCACCAGCACTAGCTGTTGGGCGGAGACTGCTAGCGAGATCCGCGCGTACGCATCAAAACAGGCATAGCCACGCTGCACCCGGCGCAGCATCCAGAAGTGCGAATAGAGTGCAGCACTGCGGCCAGGGCCACCATCATCCTCACGATGGTAGAGTGCCAAACCATCTGAAAGAGTCTGAAACAAGAGTTCCTCTACTTGTGGTCAAAGCCAGTAGATTGGTTGGATAATGGCATACATGGAGATACCACATCAGACATGAGATATGCATTTGTCAGATTGCAGACTATCGAATTCCCAAGCTTCCCCCTGATTCACCCTCGCAGACCAGGTCCTCGGTGTGCAAACGCTTCACGACACCTTCAGTCGCATGGGCTGTTTCATCAACCCAGCGCAAAACCTCCATCTCTTTTGTCACAGGAGTACTCCTACCACGGAAGTGTTGAAGAAACCACTTATGTAGAAAGCAAAAGAGGTCCACTTCTGCATGGGGGCCCCTCGACATTTCTTGGAACCTTTATTGAAACTGAGCCCTGGCTAGAACAGCTCGTAAAGTAGCCCTCCACCACAACACTCAAACGCCAGGTTCATTCCATAAAATGCAGGGGACAACGGTTCATTCCAGGAACAAGAAGCTACTAGTAACAAAGGGCATCGCTACTAGGAGCAAGGACGCTACTAGTAGCTCCTGGCCTTACTACTAGGAACAAGAAGCTATACTATATAGTAACAACGGTTCATTCCAGGTCCTTGTCTTTCGGATTGCCGGCACGGAGGCTGCGCGCCGGAGGCTGGAGATGTTTTGATGGACCCGGTCGTGTGCTGGCAGCTCTCCGTCTTGCAGGACACTGGGGACCTGTCGGTGCAAAGAGGCTGGGGACAAGAGCATAAAACACAGCCTCTCTCTGCTAGCGGCTACTAGGTTCAGACCTTGACTGGAAAATGTCTAAAGTTCAAGACAATCCTTTTCGCCTGAACGAAGTTCTTTGGGAGCGCCTCATACTCCTGCGCAAGTAGTCACATCAAAAGCTGCTAGCAAGCCCAAACCCCATGAGTACAAGAGCAAGACTGGACTCCGAAGATGTTGAACACAAACCTTAGATCTCAACACGTGGCAGTTGAGTCAGCATCCATCACTCCTCCTGCGCACGCATTGCCTCTGAAATCTCCAGAAGGGAGGCCACGGGAGGGCGTACCGCCTGGTCTATGGCTGTAAGATCGTGGTCTATGCTGGTTGTTGCCCTTGTTGGCCACACTTCCAACTTTGGAGATAAAAGACATCTCTGAGTACATCATCATGGCTGAAAATGGGGTGGTAAAACCTACAGCCCCTGCATCTGATAATTTGAGACAGACATGACATATCCACAGATCTTTTGTCGATGCTATTGTTCATGTTGATGGTGTTTGCTACTGTTACGGCGAGCGGCTCCCAAAGGGTGTGTTTGCAATACGCCCAATGAGTGTGAACAAATGGTGTGACAGCAGTGGCAGCATGGTGTAGTTGTAGCACGTCAGGAGAGACAGTAATTGTGGCAAGGCCATCTGCCAGTGTCACCTAGATTCCCAGTTTCCAGGGCACCAGGCCTGAGTCAAGATCTTGGTGGAGGCTGAAGTAGCTGCAATGGAGCCATTCATGGCCAGCCAAACGCCCACCATACCGAAGATGATGCAACTGAAGACGCAGTTGTTCCTTCACACGAACCCACACAGATCCCTAATCACTAGGGTCGAGGTAATCTCACCTCGCGACCGGAACACGCACTATCCTCCAAGAAGCATTCCATGGAAAACCACGACTTCGTCTTCCTTTTTGTTGAAAAAAACACATCTTCTTCGTAAGACCAGAGCCACTGCGATCAGCTGGCCACTTACTGACAGATCCCAGCCCGGGCAGTGCTCCTCTGTCATGCTTCCAAGTACTAGCCCTAGCCATGCAGCACCAACCGCAGTCCTGAACGTCACCATATTTTACCACAATCATCCCCTGATCATCTGAACTCGTCACCGTGAAAAGGATTCCGAACACCTTTCCAGTCAGACAGGACATGTTTTCCTGTATCCCTCAGCCCTCAGCACAGACCTCAACCCGATGACTTCGCCAATGAATTCGGCCACTCCGATGACTTCGCTTCTACTTCTTCGATCCCCAAAGCCAAGGCACCAAATGACCAGTAGCCAGGGCGGCTCCATGGGGAAGGTGGGATATCCCACAGCCATGAAGTTCATGACCTCAAAGTTCACCGTTCAACAGGCTGTTCTAGCTCTCAAGGGGGTCTCTAGCTGTTCTAACTCTTGTTGCAAAAATCATGTCCACCCCCAAGGCCTTCCCTCAATAAATCAATGCAGGAACGAGGAGAGCAAGTCGATAAAAGTCGTCAATTGATGTCAATTGTCAATCGTCACTTATGGAGAACCAGAAGACAAGTCTCCAAGACTCCTCGAAAAGTCCTGATCGTTTTCTCTGCAGTGGCTTTCCTGTCAAATTTGGCAAAATGGCCGAGGCGATGATCAAAGTCCCTACCACCATATAGTTGTCCATATTGGCCCTGGTGCACTCGAAAACATCTCGCACATCTTCCCGGAAGAGATTCCAGAGCTCGATACGCATGTCCTCTCAACAAAGGTCAAAGTTGGTGATCCAAGTCTCTTTGTCAGTGACATGCGAACTGTCTTGAGTCTTGGCGCACGGCGCGGTGCGCAGTGCGGCCAAAGGTCTGTCTCGCTGCCGTCTCGTGCGGCCTAGTTCCTAAAAGGTCGAGCTAAATCATTCGGTGTGCGAATGGGTCGACTGGCTGTAAAAGCTTGGAGAGTGTCTCCAATCAGCCGCAAGGATCTGTCCGAGAGAGGAAAAGCCATCCCCCGAAGCGGAGTCGCAACTCCCAAAGAAGATCTATCTAGATCCGAGACCGAAGTCAAACCAAGGTCAAAGTGGGTCGTGAAGGAACGAAGAAACCGAGAAATAAAGCGAACCCTCAAAGCAACGGTAACCTCATGATCCAAAGCAGGAGAAACACTAGAACGATCCCACCAGATTTGACCCTGGGCAGCCACCCCTGGCACTGGATGAGGTAGTCGCAGTGCAAAAGCCAGGGCGGCTAACTCGATCCAACTAACAGCAAAAACGGAGATGCAGGTGTCAGACTCCGTGGCCAAAAACGAAACAAATTCAAAAACGAATTCAGCCCCAAAAATTTTACAAAGCGGGCTAGCTAACCAACGGGGGTACCAGTCTATGGGTAAGACGTCCCCCAAAGCAGCGGCATGCGCCGGGGTTCTCTCTATCGAAAAGTTGATCTCATCCGAAGGTAGGTCCTCATCTTGGTCAGCAACCTCAGGGAGCATAGCTCCATGAGCAGCCAAGGCAAGATGGAACGCCTGAAAAATGCGCAAGCAGCGAGCTCCATCAGCCCACTCACAAGAAAAAACTTGCCAGAGTTCTTGAAACGACGCCGGGCGCAACTGATGGGCATCCTTAGCAGCAGTGTCGGCAATGTCATTCCAGTGAGCAGCCCAGGCCTCGACATCCTGAAGAGGTCCAACTGCGGCATGTCCGGGGACGTGTTGAACAAACACCTGTTGGGGATACAGCTGTGCTACTAACTCTGCAAGTTCCTTCCAAAGGTCCAAATGTGTGTCAGGCTCCAGCACTGTACCTTGCAGCAGGGCCAACAAACCGGCCGATGCATATGAAGAGTCCGTCCAGATTGCGCAAGCAACCTCACAACGCAAACACCATCTGAGCGCAACTATCAATGCAAATAACTCTGCTCGGTTATTGCTTTGCAACAGGCCCACCATAGGCCCAGAGGCAATGATCTGAGCATGAGAAGCTGATATCACTGCCCAAGAAGCCAAGGTATATCCACCTGCACCCTTTGGCCAAGCACTGCCATCAGTGAAAATGTTGACCCTGCAAGTTGAATCAGCCAGAAACGCAAAGTTCCAACTCAAATCAGGCAATTGCAGAAGAGCATGCTTCAACTGCGCGGCAGTGCGAAGGCGACCCAAGAGCAATCTTTCACGTAAAGCGACTGTAGTTCGAGGCCACAACCTCCAAGCTTCAGGGTGAGCAGCACGAACAGAAGCATAAAACGGACACTCCAAAGCTCGATGAGAAACCGAGTCACAACCAGGCCACAATGCTTACATCTATCCCCTCGCAACTTGTCAAATTTTCCAATGTGCGCACCAGTGAAAAAGGCGCCTTCACGCAGAGCTGCTATCTACGATTGTTGAAGAGTAGGCAAGTGAGTGACAGCAACCGGCGGAGGCCAACACAGCCCTTCAAGTCCTTGGTAATCGGCCCGATGCCGAACCTCACGAGCCAGAGATTGGAACCAAGCGTCATGAAGCAAGTCAACCAACAACTCGGTGGGCATGGACAGAAGGTCATGGGCACAACCATCATGGTCCTCACACCAAGGAGGGTCAGTGAGAGTTGAGCAGATGAGTCGGCATTGTTCGCGAAGCTTTGTGAAGGGTCCAAAAAGACCTGGCGAGGTGGACTGCTCAAAGGCTTGCCAAAGAGAAACCAAAGGAGGTTGTTTGGAAATCAGACGACGAAAATCCAAGAAAGTGCGGATAAGCTGATAGCACCCATGAGGGTCTGTTTCAGGGGCTGAGGTCAGAAGCGAAAGGCGCAAACCCGGGTGAGCACCAGCTTTCTTGACACCCAGGGCGCGAACAGCTTGAGTCCGAGCTGCTGCGATGTGCCGGAAGGAGTGATGCAGATGGCATGAAGCCCACGGGGCCAAAAAGCCTGACGGATCACGTATTCCTTCAAAGCCAAAGGAGCCACCGAACGACGCAGAGCAGCCCAAGCTGGCTCAAGGGACTGCAGGCGTTGAACCTGAAGAGGGGCAGCTGAGCGACGCCCAAAGGCCAAAGCTCCACCCAAATCCATTGCGGTCAACTTGACTTGGAATTGAAGTGTTCGAAGCGCCGTACGATCCACAGGGCGAGTAGCCCAGCAGTATGTTTTCCGTCTGTCAAGACTCATGCCCCACATGTCAAAGAAAGAGTCCATAACATGGAAACTTCGAACCAGAGTAGTGACAGCGTCAGAGAGCAAGCTGAGATTGTCCACATATGAAAAAGGAACAGACGTCAGAGCAAAAATCAGCTGATGCTTGTCCCAACAAAAATCCAGCAGGCTCATACCCAGGACTGACAAAGCACATCCCTCCAGCAGCCCTGACGTAGAATTCAATGGACGGCCAACTTGAGCATGTATGCAAAATCTGCGACTACAAGATGCCAAAAAGCGAAACCAGGCGGAGGTCAAAGCAGAAGGCACTCCCAAGCAGTGACATAGATGCTCCAGTGGGTCACGAGGAATGGACTCAAAAGCTTTTTCGATGTCTGTGGAACATCCCAACAATGGCAAGTGATCAGCAAGACATGCCTCGATCAAAGCTTATAAACCAAAGATCTCCAGCCTCCCTATGTTCCAGGAACCCACACATACGAGGACCTGCGAATTGTGCCAAGGCTTGCAAAATACCTCGTGAACGAACAGAGGCCCAAGCACGATAAATCATACTGAAGACAATGATTGGACGGTAATCATTGACGACGGCGGCTTGCAAATGTTTAGGTAAGCAATGGCCAATCCCAAGGCATAGCTGTTTCGGCCAGTCAGCGCCCGCTTCAATCTTGCTCAATCCTTCCAAAAGACCGTGCTTAAAAACCTGTGGCATACGACGCAGATCTAACCGATCAAAAGAGTCAGGACCACGGGCCGCGTGAGGCTGGAAACGTGCCACCACAGAATCCCACAAAGGAACCGAAAGCTGTGGAAGCTCAAAAGGCAAAGGCTGAAGATAGACAGCGGTAAACCGCAGGATTCGACTCCACTGGTCAGGAGGGACCTGCTCATAGCGACTCCAGCGAGATTGCCAAAACGTGCCAACCGCATCAAGCATCTCGTCGGTGGTAGTCAGATGTGAGGCAACTGTGAGCACCTGGCCAGGGCACAACAACAAGTCACAGTCGATCTGAAACTGACCAGAGTCCAGACGAGGCACGACGGCTGGCACATCATCCAATGTAGCAGAACAACCGGAAGGAAGCTCAAGGTCCCGATCAAGAGTGACAGTGAAGGTACCAGGAGCGACAGACAAAAGAGTGGCCGATTGCCGGGTCAGCAGGGAGTCCATAACGACACTGGGTTTTGACAAAATGGATCGAAAGGCCAACTTTGAAGATTCTTGCATGGACACTTTCAAAGCAGCGCGACGCTGTTGAAGATGCCAAGATTCAAAAGCTCGATAGTTCTGGTGAAAGTCCAAATAAATCGATTCAGCTTCCGCACAGGTTGGCAAAGTCCACTCAAGGACGGCTGGAGTTCCCTGAAGCTTGCGAGGTCGAAGCAGCCACCATGCCCGAAAAAGAGGATGGAAACCCTTGGCACGCAAGACAGCAGCCCAAGTAAGCAGACGACTGTCTACAGCTTCTGGTGTACTCCGATTAGCGCGCAAGTTGTGGAGAAGGGACTGTATCCGCCTAAGTTGCGCAAACCACTGGCAGACCCGACGTCCAACCAATCCAGCCGCAGGGAGCACTTCGCCATGTCGTGAGGGTTTGATGACAGGCGCAGAAAGAGTGGTACGGCGAGGAGCCAAGAACTGACCCCTTCCATAGGCCGCAGGGGCAGTCCACTGCCAACAACGGAGCCATCAGGGCAGTGGCCATGGAAGCTAGCATCGAACGCCTGGCCAAACTGAGTGAACCATGAGGTGGAGTCAACAGAGTCACACCAATCAGGAGGAACGGTAGCTGGAGACGCCTGCCAGTGCGACAAATCCACGGAAGACCACGGAACCCTGGAGGTCATAGGCCAGCGCCAAGCCTGAGTATGCAAAAGAGGGACATCAAAATGCCCCACCAACGCAGCATGATCCGCAAAGTGTGGCAAGACCTCAGTGCGAAGGAGCGAGTGAGCAAGCTCAGGTGACAGAAAACATCGATCTGGCCGAGTCTTGCCGCGAAAAGTAGGCTGCACTTCGCCCCCAAAACGCAGACACGAAAGTTCCTGAAGTTCAACCCATCCGGCGGCCTGCCAAACCTCAAATTCAACAAAGCTACCATTAAAATCACCACAAAGATATCTGGGTCCAGCGGAACCATGCACAATTTCAACGGTAAGCTGATGCAGCAATTGAGCAGTGGCACGATGGGCTGAAGTCCAAGTGGGGCTAGTGGGCCAACCGTAGACCAGGCCGCCAAGAAATGAGAACGAGGTGGTATAAAACCGTGAGAGCATAACGCGACCTATGGCATGTTCATTGTGAGTCCAAGGCAACGATACCTGATGTCCTCCAATGTCCGCTAACTGCATAACCCCGGACCACGTACCAACGGAGGAACTCTGAGGCCGAAGACAAACCCGAGCACCTGGTAAAACACGAAGCCGACGATTGGCCTGCTGAGCAAGGCTACGAAGGACCCGAATCGCAACCGGCTGAGACACAGCAGACAAGTGAGTTTCAGAAATGTTCACAATTCCAGGTGGCAGAGCAAGAAGATGTGGCTCTTTACTGGCGACTCCGGAGGGATTGCAGACTGAGATAGCCAGGGGTCCAGGACGGCGAGCCTCCCCAACACGACAAG